TGGCTCCAGGGTCCCCATGGCCTTCTGCAGCTGGCTCCAGGGGCATCAGTTTGGAGCTTGTGCTCCAACAGGCAGGACCTGGGCAGCCAGTGCCCACTGCGCCTCTCACCAAGGGACAGAAGGACCACATGTGCAGGCACAGAGTCTGGCAAACTCAGCGCTCACTGGTCCCTGGCCACTTCCAACCCAAAGGCTTTGGGGTCCCCCAGCGGGGACTGGAGCTCAGATTCACAGGGAACCTCATGGACGCACCTTGCTGCCCCCTCCCCCATACATGTTCACACACACACTTCTTTGCAAGTGGTGCCAGGGGTCCTGGTCACATGAGGCTACCCTGGGGTTCGGCCCCTGACCAGGTCCCCATACCCTGTGGGTCTCCATCCCTCTACCCCACCCCCAGCCTGGAAAGATTTGCAGCAGGCAGGCTTCCTGCTCTAGCCTTCGGGAAGCCAGGGGTGCGGCTGGACTTGGCTTTGAAATCACACCCCTCCCCCCTTGTGGCCGTGCCCCTGGCATCTGGCTGGCAGGAAGAGGGTCCAGCTCCACAGCTGCCCACAGCCCACAGGGCCCATGCCCTCAGCGACCGGCAGGCTTGGCTCTGCAACAGTAGTTACGGTGGGTAAATATAGCACTGCCACTCACCCGCAGAGGGGCCCTCGCCGTCTGACATGGTGTGGCCGATGGGCAGCTGCTGGCCACCAGCCTGCAAGGACAAGCCACGTCCTCGGTGGCCGGCACCCACCCGGCAGGGCTCGGGACTGCTCTGTGTCCGGCCCTCCAAAGGTCCCGCCTGGCCCGCCTGGCCACCCCCCCTATGCTGGGCTGGGCAGATAAGAGTGGCTCCCATGCCAGGAGCATAGGCGATTGGTGGATAATTCTGGGCACTGCCCTCCCTGCCCAGACCTCTCCTAGGCAGCCCCGGAATGTTGCCTGAGAAGCCGCTACACCCCTGGGTACTTGGCCAGTTGCCAGGACCCCAGCCCCTGGGGGGCTCCTGCAGAATGCCAGTCCCTCTTGCTGCTTCTCAGGACTGGTACCACCCCTGAGCCAGGGACATACCTGGGCACTGGAGAAGGACCCAACTAAGTGATGCCACCCACCAAGTGCCGACTGGCACCAGAGCCACCAGTACCACCATGCTTGCCATCTCTCTCTGCTCTGACCATCGAGTGCCTCGGGATTCAGAGACCCACCACAGAGCCAAAGCCGGGCTGTCTGTGTCTAAGGCCTCGGGGAGACTGGACCCTGCCTGGGACTTTTTGGCGACATTCCTGGACACTTTGGGGCTCCTTGGGTGCTGGTGCACTGCACCCGGCAACAGGGATGCTGGCAAAAGCTGGCCAAGAGCATGCGTCTTGCAGGCATTGAGTTGCACGTGCTGTGTGCTGGTGCTGGGCCCAGAGCCAGCCCAGCCCCACTCCATGCCCCACAAAGGTCAGGTCTGCAGAGTAGCAGCCCACACTGGGTTTCTCTGGGCCTCTAGGCTGAGGTCTGCCCCGTTCAGCAGTAGAGCCCGGCAGAAGGAAGGTGGCTTCAGGACCAGGGAGAGAAGTGCTTCGGGTGAGCTCTACTTGGAGAAATCCGGAGGGCTTCCTGGAGGAGCTGACATCTGAGTTACCTTGTTAAAGGGTGAGAAAGTTTTTCAGGGCAAGAGGGCATTGCAGGGAGAGGGGGTGGCAAGTGCAGAGGCAAGGTGTGGCAAGCCCTGGTGGGAGAGTGGCAGGGTCCACAGCAGAAACTAAAGATGGGCGTGATTCCTGGAGAGGAGGAGGATGCCGTGGAGGCAGGTTTCAGGGCTGGGGGGGCAGGGAGGCTTCCTGGACGGGGAGCAGGAGCCTCAGAGAATGAGGGCAGAGTGGCACTGCGGGCATCCTGGCTGCCGCTTCTGACCTCACTGTGTCCTTGGCTGGTTCCCGCTGTGTCCTCGTGGTGGCTGGCTTGTGCTGTCTGAAGGTGGTGAGCTCGCCGTCACAGGGAGTGCGCAAGACAGCAGAGACCCTGTAGGGGATGTAGATGGCGTTTGAGCATCAGGTGGGTTGGAGAAAATGGCTTCGGGGTCCTGTTTCCCTGGCATTTGTCTGAATGTATCCCCGGAGCCCCTTTAGTCCAGGGCAAACTGCGCAGTTGGTCAGCCTGGGTTCTTCCAAAGAGGTTTTTAAGTGAAAAAAGAAAAACGCCAAGCCAAGCCAGAGCAGCCCTGGGGCTGTGTCTTGAGTTCTTGGTCCCACCTCCCCACCTGTATACCCTGCCTTCCTCCTTACCCCCTGAAGCCACCCCAAGGCTGGTGTAGGGGGAGTCTCAAGAAGAGGAGTCAGCTGCCCTCAGCGACACCCCACCCTGCGGGTCCAGTGGGAGGAGCCTCGTCTGGGAAGTGGGAGGAGTCCTGTCTGGGGAAGTGGGAGGGGCCTCCTCTGGGGGAAGTGGGTGGAACCTGTGAGGTGTGGGCCAAGGGTCATTTCTGAAGTTTAACAACAAAAGTGACTTGCAAAGTTCGAAGGGTCTGCATAGGTGGCCGCATCTCCCCAGGAGGGGTGGGACCTGGCTGTGTTCCCTTGGTGTTGGTGGGAGCAGATAGGCTTGGGCGGGGTGGGATCTGTCTCCCTGGCCCTTCCTTGCTCAGTGTAGCTTTGAGGACCTCGTGGTCCCTCTGGGCGCCTCTGTTTCCACACTGGGGAGCATTCAGGAGCACCTCCTAGCTCCTAATCCAGAGTCCCTGCCCCAGGCATGTCTCTGGGCCAATGCTGGGCAGGACCTGTGACCCCAAGTCAGGCCTGTGTCCCATGGTCCTGCTTGGGGCTCCCTGGAGGGGCTGCTTCAATAGAGGAGCCCAGCCTGGAACAGAATGGCCATGGTCACCTGCAGAAGACCGTCACAGTCCAACCTGGGTGACAGTGACAGATGCAGTGTGGGCTGCAGAGAGGTGCTCAGAGGCCTCACCTTGCCTGCCACCCACAGTTCCAGGGTAGGGCAGGAAGGAGCTTGTGACAGTGGATCTGGGATCCTGCCACCTCCACCAGCCCTCCTGGGTGACAGGCACCAGCCTGGGCCAGCTCAGTTTCTCATCAGAAAGGGGCTATGACAAAGTGTACACCAAGACCCAGATCCCACCCTGAAGCCATCTGTCCATCAAGGGACTGGCCAATGCTGGCTTCCCTTTCCTGTCCCTGGCCCTGAGGCCTTCCTGTTGTCCTTAGGGTGGGAACACATGACAGGAAGAGCAGCTCAGCACCCTGTTCTGGGGGGGGGGGAGGCTCACTGCAAGTGCAGGGCATGCGTGTGAGTGTGTGCTCACAGGCACGTGGCAGCAGGCACCGTGGGGGTGTGAGTGTGAGAATGTGTGCCTGACAACGTGACCCACAGTCCCCGCTGAGCGTGTGCGTGTGCTGCGCAGGAGCCAGACAAGTGTGGGGCTGTGAGGGTGACGTGTGCAATAAACGTATAATCTGTAAAACAGAAAGGGGGACACGCCCCCACGTGCATGGCCCTGCTTGTGTGCTGCCAGCTCTGGGCTTGCAGAGGTTTTATATGTGGGGGCTCCACACCCTGGCATGGCTCTCCAGGATGAAATGAGGGGACCTAGGTCAGGAAGGAAGGTCAGTGGCCAGGTGGGAGCCCAGGAGGGGGTGGCGCAGGCTAGACCTGGTGGCGAGGACCAGGGGCCTGCTAGCAGAAAAGCCAGGCACCCTGGGTGGTGAGATTGCTGGACCTGGAGCTAAGATTCCAAGAGGCAGGGGGCTCCTGAAGAATGGGATGATGGGAAGGGGCACCCAGGTAGGCAGGTAAGGGAGGGGGGCCCCCAGCTGGCACCCTTCCTGTCCAGCACCCCGGGGCTCCTCACTGGTGGGACCCCTATCACGGAGGCGGGGCAGCAGGTGACCACAAAGCCTCATCTGGGGCTGTGGTGGCTGTGGTCACTCACCAGCTGGCTGGGGCATGGGAGACACTGCTCACCGCGCCTGGCCTTCAGCAGTGCCCACTGGGCCTCCCACTGCCTGGGCAAGCAGGGGGCTTGGGTCACACCCTGTCCCCAGGGCCTGGGGGACACAGACACTGAGACAAGGCAGCACAGAGAAACACAGGTGACACACATGGGGCTCATGCATGTTGGGCTCACATACATGACTCCCACATAAAAGCTCACACAGGCTCACACACAGGCTGTTACACACATGGAAACACACACACAGGCTCACACACCCAGGAACCTCAAGCTGACCCCAAGTGGGTGGCCTCAGACAGCACTCCCGGCCAGGAAAAAGCTTGGGTGGCCAGCAAGAGGCTCAGGGAGTCCCTGAGGGCTGTGGGGTGTGGGTCTCGGTTTTGGGGCACAACAGGTGGAGTAGCCACTGAGGCCTCCCTGACGCAGGGCCCAGGGGACCTTGCAGAGTAGCCCCAAGCTGCAGGTAGCTCTGCAGCCACCTGAAGCCCCTGGCAGCCCCTCCAGGCCGGATGGAAATGGACACAGAGCCCCTGCAGGGTTGGGGGTGCCTTCTGGACCACACTTTCTTGGACAGATGCCCCTCTGACTCCCAGAATCCCCAGACTGGGCGAGGGAGGTAGCTCAGTAGAGTAAGCGCTTGTGTGGCAAGCACAGGGGCCTGAGTTCAATCCCCGGTTCTGAAAGAAAAAAAAAGCCAGAATTCCCCAGACTGTCCCCCCCTGCTGCAGGGTACCTTGCAGGGGCTTGGGACCACAGGGTTCCGGGCAGCCGGTCTGGGCTGTAAGAAGAGGCAACGGCCAGACTCTGGACTAGAGTGAAGGGCTTGGGTCCTCTTTAAGCCCAGGGTGGAGCCCAGGTCCTGGACGACGGATTCCTGGGCCAGTAGCTCTCTGCCAGTGCTGCTGGCGCGGTGCTGGCTGAGGAAGCTGCAGGCCCACCAGCCTCGGGCCCTGCATCGCTCCGGAGCTTCCTGCGGCGGGGAGGGAGCTCAGATGGCTCATAGCGCGGCCAGGGGCGCAAAGAGGCGCTGGGGCCAGGCCACGTCTGAAGGCCCTGCTTGGGGCCGGGCTGTGAAATGGGGGTGGCGCCTGCACTCCACCCAGAGTGCAGTGTGGCCCAGGCCGGGTTCAGGCTCGCAGCCTGTCCCCGGTCTCTCCGGTAGGAGGCTGGCGAGGTCCCCTCACGGGGTCTGGAGACTCTGGGCCTCCCGGAGCGCAGAAGACTCGGCCCGCTCTGTCTGCTCCGCGAGGCCGTGAGCGCTGCGCCCTGTCGCCCCCGTGCGGCTCCTGGGAGCCCTGCAGGCCTCACTTCCAGAAGAGCTGGCCTCCGTGGCGGGAACACGCAGTAAGGATTACTAATGACAGCGTCTACTCCTAGGCCCCTGAAGGCCAGGGTGAGGGTTTTGTCCCTGTCCCCCGTTATCTACCCTCCAGTGCTTGAGTTCGGGGCTAGCCTTGTCTGCAGGGACCATGCACGTGGCTCCCCCTGGCTGGGCCCCTGCAGAGCGGAGGACTGGAGGCCCAGGACCCTTCCACCGTGGCACGAGTCCGAGGGGTGGGGCAGGGGCTGCGGTCCAGAGGGCTGCAAAGGGCAAGAGAGAGTCACAGCAGGGAGGGGTGGGGGACAAGGTGCAAAGACAGCACCAGGGGCGGCGCCGCAGGAAGCGGGCAGAGATGAACCACCCACTTATGCACAGCGAGGGCGGGAGCAGGCAGGCAAGCTGTTATGGGACTGGCCGCAGTTCTGGGGCCTCCAGGCAGAGAAGAGTGGGTGCTGGCCCAGGGGATCAGGAAAGCAGGGAGAACGAAAGCAGGTGGTCTCTGCCCAAGAGCACGCTCTCCAAGAGCTCACGGAGCAGCCCCGAGGAGGGACCGGCCTGAGGACAGGGGCTGCCTGGGTCGATGGCACCTCAGCCCCTCTGGTAGAAAGGAAGGGGCGGTTCTTCCAGCCCCACCCCACCGAGAGCTTCAGTTTCCCCACAGGAGATGGCCCCATCCTTCCTCTGCCCGGGTCAGGAGGGGCAGTGCTGTGCCAGAGGGTGCCGGGCTGGGTAGGTGTGCCCAGCTCCACCAGGCCACTCTGGGGGGAGGTCGCAACCCTCTCACATCAAGCCCTCAAAGCCTCCCCAGTTCCCCATAATCCAAGGCCCCATGGAACACAGGGGCGTGGTCCCGTCTCTACTACCGCAGGGCTCCTCTGCCAGTATGCCACCATCTCCCCCAGATGCGCAGAGAGAGGCAAGCTTGGCGGCCTTTAGTTCATGCAGTCAGCACGTTTATTGGGCATCGACTGTGCCAGGCCCGGTGGCCGCGGGGCCTCGAGGAGAAGCGTGAGCGGACCGCTCGGTGCTCACGCCTACCCAGCAGTTGGTCAGGACAGCAGGGCGGACACTCACGGTACAGTGTGGTCAGTGTGGTGTTAGAGGTAGCACAGGTGACACAGAGGAAGGGCCCCGGCCAGGAAGGGTGGCGGGGAGGACTTCCTGGAGGAGGGGGCTAGTGGAGAGGGCTTAGAGCATGAGTAAGAGTTACAGTGTTTGAAGGAGAGCTGCTTCCAAGCTGGAAGAGCAGGAAGACCTCAGGGAGGGCCTCAGAGCTGCGGGTGACGGGGAGCGCCAAGGGTGTGAAGCAGGTGGTCGTGGTGGCCCAGGGCCCGCAGGAGCCAGCACAGAGGACGGCCGGGGAGGGACAGGACTGCGGGCAGTGGAGGATGGTGAGGATGGTGTGGCTGCACCTGGAGTCAGCAGGGCGGGGGCGGGGGCGCGGGCTGCCAGCCCCGGGGCAGCAGGGTGCAGAGCACGGGGTCCAGCGGCTTGAGCGTGGCCTGCTCTTGCAGCCCATAGCGCTGCCCAGGCACCAGGTGGAACTCCAGCCTCTGCAGCAGCTTGGCCATGACCACCTTCACCTCCATCTGTGGGCGGGGCGCAGAGCCATGGGGGCCCCGCCCAGCCTCCCCCTCCCCCAGCCACCTGGCTCCTGCCCAGGCTTCCTACCTGAGCAAACTGCTGCCCGATGCAGGAGCGGTGGCCCAGGGAGAAGGGAAAGTAGGTAAAGCGAGGTCTGTGGGAGAGAGTGGGTGGCGCTGATGCGGGGACACCGCTGCCCCTTGCTGGTGAGCGCTCTGAGCAGGGCGCAGGAGCACCCACCATGTTCAGTCTGGGTCTGAGCCCAGACAGGGCAAGAGGGCAGGTCACCTCGCCTGTCTGAGCTGCAGCTACCCCCGGTGCCACCTCCCAAGATCCAGAAGCCACGTGTGCTCCATGGGTGCCACTGGCTCAGAGCGGCGGTGAGTTTGCTGCTCTGCTGGGCCAGCTGGGCCAGCACCTCCCGCGGGGGGAGGGCAGACGGGGACGAGGACTTACTTGGGTGCTCCAGGGCTGAAGCGATCGGGGTTGAAAGTCAGCGGGTCCTCGAAGTAGGTGTCCATCCGCCCCATGACATAGGTGCTGAACTGCCGGGAGAGGGGCTGGTGGCCCACATCCCCCAGGCCATGTCCCTCGAGCCTCCCAACCCTCGGTGCCAACCTAGTAGGGAGCTTAGGGCACAGGGGCCCCACTCTCCACCAGCCCAATAGGTAGGTTGGCAGTCATTTTCCCCTAGAATAGGCCAAGGTCCCACAGCCTGCTGTGTGTCAGACACCAGCCCCACCTAGCCACCCTTCTGGGGAGCTACCAGTGTCCCCACTTCACAGATGAGAAAACTGCAGCTCAGGGAGACGTTTGGTGGCTTGGAGAAGCCACCAGCAAGCATGGTCCAAGTGAGGCTTGCCCTCGTGTGTGGCCCTGTAGGCTGTCTTCCCCTCCCTCCCTGAGAGCTGTTGCTACTCCTTTTCCTTAAACTTTCTCTCTCTGGCCTGGAAAGACATGCAAATTAAGACAACATGGAGATTCCACCACATCAAGAAGTCAGAAAACTTCGCCAGCAAGTGTTGGTGAGGCTGCAGTGTTGGGGTGGGGGCCTCCTACACTGTTGAGCGGGCTATTCCCCACCCAGGAATCTTCTCAAGAGTTATAGACCTCATGTCTCAGTGATGCGTGTTTATAGCAGCGTAACTCATAGTCACTAAGTCTGAAGGCGGCCTGCGTACCCACCAGCAGATGAGCAGAACAAGAAAATGAGCTATTTATACATGGTGGAGTACTACTCTGCCACAAAGAAGGGTCGACTCGAATAATCTGTAGGAAAACGGATGCACCGTGAAACCATAACGTCAAGTGAAATAAATCAGATGCACAAGCTTCAGTGTCGCATGGCTACTCTTGTATGAGAAAACTCAAGTTATAAATAAAGAGAAAAATAAGAAAATAGACAATAGGAAGTAGGGAAAATTTCCTCAAATGGGAAGGAGACCAAGAGAAGGAGTGAGGGAAGGGAGAGGAAGGGAAAACAGGAATGAACACGCGTTAGGTCTGTGTGCCGGCCCCAAGAACCCCTTACGGACCATGTGTGCTGCATGCACGTGGTAATAAAAATATTCATAAAGCTCAAACTCTTGAAGCTCCCTTGGGGGTTCAGAGCTGGGGTGGGGGAGCTGCAGCCCAACCCCCGCCTTCCACTTATAGCGGGGCACCTCTGGTGGGGTGCAGCGCCCCCTCTGCACCCCGCTGTGCTTGTCCCCAGAAAGCTGTGCACCCCGTCACCTGGGCTTCGGGTGCTGGCCACGGCCTCTCCACCTGTGGACGGAGTTTGGGAGCTCCTCCCAGCCCTGCCCCGCTGGTCAGCGTCCAGGGTACCTGTCGTGGGCCCCGGATTTTCCCCATACCTCAGATGGGCCTCTTCCTGTTGATGACCCGACTGACAAGAGGGAGTGCCACCAGAGTGTCCTGAGGCTCTGACAGGCATGGGCCAGGGAGCCCCCGCAGCTTTTATCTGTCCACTCTGAGCCCTAAAAGGCACCGCCAGGTGCAGAGTGAGCTGAAGGCCGTGCCCTCGTGGTGGAAGGGTGAGCTGACGTGGTGGGCAGAAGACAGAACGGTAGGGTCAGGGAATGAAAGGGCAAGCAGCAAAACAGTGAAAACCACTGAAGACAATGTCCAGACGGGCGCGAGGGAGACCAGCAGAGCCAGAAGCCGGGGCACCGGAGTGCCCTGCTCTGTGGCTCCTGCCCTGGGCTGAACTGCCTCCTGCCACGCTCGTACGCCAAAGCCCTGACACCAGAGGGGGCCACGCTGATGATGGTCCTTAGCGAGGTGATTAGGCTAACGTGAAGCCATAGGGTGGATGACTCCGCTCCCACAAGACGGGAACTCAAGACGGGAACACAGGAGAACCAGGTGAAGACAGACCCGAAGGGAGGGGGCCGCGGCCGGGCCCTGGGAACCAGCCTGCTCCAGACCTCTGCACGGTGCCAGCCCCAGCCTGAGGCACTCGGTCCACCTCACCTTGGGAGCCCTGCTACACCAACACAACCCACCTCACAGCCACACACCAAGCCAACTCTGGTGGACAACAGCTTAGCTTTCTTAAAAAAAAGAGCAAAATTATTGAAGGGCAATGGAAATAAATTGTTTTCTGAGCTCAGGATGGGGGAGGATTTCTTAAACATGACAAAATTTTAAAACTAACCAGTTTTTTGTTTTTCCAAAAAAGTTAAGAACCTCAGATTGTCAAAAACACAGTGGGGAGCCGGGGAGATAGCTCAGTAGAATAAGTGCTTGCCTGGCAACAAGTGCAAGGGCCTGAGTTCAATCCCCGGTTCCGAAAAACAAAAACAGTGAGCCCTTTGAAAACAAGCCACCAATGTTGGGGAACAACTGCAACACAGATAACAAACAGGCTTCCTACCTAAGTGTGTTTTTTTTTTTTTTTTTTTTAAGTCCAACAACAAAAAAAGGGCAAACCACGCCAGCATCTCTCAGAAGAGGAAATGCAAGCAGGGATGCCCTACCTCACTGGGAATCGGGAAAGCAGGTGCAAGTCAAGAGCCCTGCAAAATGCTTTTGGACCCAGGAATAAGACGACCTCCAAGAGGGATAAAGCGAGGAAGAGTGGGAGGCTTCCGTGCCGCTAGGGAGCGTTCGAGCGGGCACAGCCACCGGGGAAACCATCCCTGTGAGCTTGTACACTTCGTCACCCATGTGCCCCCCACGCGCCCCTTACTCCTGGTGGGGGCCGCAGAAGCAGTTTGCACCCCTGCCAGTTGACAGGGACGGAAAGCCACAGCCACAGGGTACCGGAACCCCTCCTATGGCTGCAGCATGGATGCCCTGGGAGGGCCCGGCAGGACTCAGGGCGCCAGAGCGCCTGGAGAGGTGGCCATCGTGGATGCCCCAGCCACCGCCGAGCCCCCGACTGCCCCCCATGGGTGCAGCAGGCAGCCCGCCCCGCAGCCCCACGCACCAAGAGTGGAGTGTTTCCGGGGACTCGGACCCCATCGATCAGGGTTTCCTCCTCCAGCAGGCGGAAGGTGGCCCAGGCCGGCGGGTACAGCCTCAGGGACTCCTTGAGGACCTGCGGGTGCCGCGGAGAGACCGCAAGTCCTGGGAGGGACCCACTCCTCCTCCCTCCCCACCACATCCTCCCCAGGCCCCCACCCTGGGACCTCATCCACCTCCTCCATCACAGTCACCTCCTCAAGGGACAGAAGGGGAAGCTGAGGCCGGAGAAGGCCCCTGTGCCAGAGTCGGCGCTCCTCCCTCCATCCATCTGTCACAGAGGGAGAGCTGGGTGAGCTGGGCGGGGCAGGGCAGGGAGGGGTCTGGGACAGCCTGAGCCATAGGACAAGGGTGACCTCCCAGGAAACACTTGGGTGCAGCCAAGGCTGAGAAACGCAGTGCTGAAGGGTCAGGAGGCAGCAGGCTGAAGTGCCGAACCCTCACATCTGCCCGGAAGCATTTTTCCTTTGCCCGCACCTGAGACAGGTACTGCAGTCTGCCCAGGTCCTCGTAGTCCAGGTGCCTCTTAGAACCAATGACCTTGTCCACCTCAGCCTGCAGCCTGTCAGGTGAGACACGGTCAGGGCCTGCTGCAGACAGACGGTGCTACCCAGGAACTGCCCCTTCTGGAACGTTCCAAAGACCTCAGAGCACCCACGTCCACGCTGGGCGCTCAGCATCAGTGCAGGAGGTAATACAGCCTGCACAGAGCCTGCGCACGAGATGCCCATCGTGGCCCAGGGCAGCAGTCAGTGGCACAAGTGGCCCAGGGACACTGGCTGGCTAGAGCAGGGAGGGCAGGAGGGAGAGGACCACGAGGAGCGCTTGCAGCAAAGAAAAAGTAGCAAAGGTTGCTGAGGATACAGAGACATCAGAGCCCGAGTGCACGCTGGAGAGAATGTAAAATGCTGCCGCTGCTATGGGATGCACTGGTCTCCACACAGAGAACTAAAACCAGGGTTAGCTTTAGTTCACCTGGCTGTGTGCACTGCAAAGAATGGAAGGAGCAGCTCTCTGGGAGGCGGTGGCGGTGCTGTCTGCCCAAATGGCCGCAGGAGCAGCCCAGGTGCCCAGCTGCCTGTGGATAGGTGCAGGGGAACCCCAGAGGCTCTGTCCACACAGTGGAACGGGATCCACTGGAGAAGGAAGGGGGTTTTCACACCTGCCGCGGCGTGGATGGGCCCTGCACGCTTTATGTTGGATGAAACAAGCCAGTCCCAAGGTCAGTGCTGCCCAGTGCCACCACAGAGGGGCCTGAAGTGACGGGGCATAGAGGAGGGGCTGGGGCCAGAAGCCAGGGTCACTGCTGGGGCAGTGCTCCAAGTTGGGAAGATGCAGATGGTGGAGGTGGGCAGTGGTGACAGTGCCGACCAGGACAGTAGACTTTCCACCACCACGCCTGGTCTCAGTGCACGGCTCAGTGTGCCTGGGGGTGGGGCCCATGCAGCATGTGGTGCTAAGGATCAAATCCCTGTCCCTGCGCTTGCCTAAGCAGGCACGTGGTCCACTCAGCTATCTCTCCAGCCCTCCACAGTTTTTTGGTGGTGCTACGTGCTCTAGGCAGGCCCTGTACCACTGAGGGTCATCTCCAGCCCGCTAATTTTTTATATAAAGTATTCATGACAATTAAATACATATTTTAAAGCCAAATAGGCTACTATATGTCCTAGGATAACTTTTCATTCTGCCCTTTGATGCTGAAGATGGTGAACACTTCTTTTTTGTTTTGTTTTTGGAGTAGGATTTGCTGTGTGGCCCAGGCTGGCCTTGAAATCTCGCTCCTGCCTCAGCTCCCAAGTGCTGGGATCACGGGCCTGTTCCACCATGCCCAGCCATGATCACACTTGGAAGCCAAGCCTGCATTCCCAAGAGTACCTCCCAGGCTGCCTTTTTGCTTGGTGGGGGGATGGCAGGTGCAAAAGCCCCAGGATGTGGGGAAGTCAGGGCTTAGCCATGGAGAGGGCACCGGGGGCCTCAGGAAGGAGACCATCTGAGCAGCCTTCTGTCAAGCCCAGGCAGCACCCTACCTGGCCACGATCTCAGGCTGGCGTGACAGCTCCATCACCGTGAAGGCCAAGTGGTTGGCAGAAGTCTCGTGACCTATGGGCAGAGAGGGCAATAGCTGCTCCACGTAGTGCCCCTGAGGCAATGACCCAAAGAGAGGGGACAGCCTGCTGAGCTTACTGCAGGGGTGGACGTGACAGGTGGTCACCAGAGCATAGAGGCAGCTACCAGGTGCCCCAAGCCCAGCAGAGCCACCTTGCAGGACGGGAGGCAGAGGAGAGCCGGGACCTGTCCTGTTCCCCCCACCCAGGCCCCAATGCCATCAGGGAAGTCCTCACAGGCTCCCTTGGGGGGGAAGCACCTGAGGGCCCACCAGCAGGTGAGGTGGGGTTTCCAGGTGACGGGGACACTCAAGAGACAGCAGAAGAACAAGTGCATGGAGTGGCCCTGCAAGGGGAGCCCTGACCTGACACCCCATAATCTCACTGCTGCTGGCTCAGCAACCAGATGGAAACGGTGCTCCCAAGATCACACACAGACAGGCTCCCTTCTGCCCTCACCCCAGCCCCAGAGCCTCTCTGTCTGGGCTCAGGTGACCCAAGCCTCCCATGATTTCTGCAGAGGTCAAAGCCCGGGGCCACTGCAGAGGCCACGTACCAGCAATGAAGAAGGTGACGAAATTGTCCAGCAGGATCTCATCGTCCTGGGCTCCCTCTTCCACTGAAAGACAAGGAGACTCTCAGTGCCCCCCAGGACCCAGACTCCCCTGCCCCAGGCACAGGAGAGAGCTACCTGTCGGCTGGGTGGGTGCCTGCTATCCCAGCACTCTGGGAGGCTGAGGCAGGATCTTGAGTTCAAGCCCAACTTGGGCAATTTAGCAACTTAACGAGAGCCTGTTTCAACTGTTTCAAAATGTGAAACAAAAGGTGTACGGTCGGGGGGGGGGGTGATGCAGCTGAGCACAAAGGAAGAACAAGAAAGAAGGGGCAGGAGGGGAAGGGGCAGGACAGTGCAGCGCAGGACAGTGCAGCACAGGACAGTGCAGCGCAAGACAGCGTAGCACGGCACAGGACAGCACAGTGCAACGCAAGACAGCGCAGGACAGGACAGCACAGGACGGGACAGCACAGGACAGCACAGGACAGGACAGCACAGTGCAGGACAACACAGCACAGGGCAGGACTGCAAAGGTCAGCGCAGGACAGCGCAGCACAGGACAGCACAGGACGGGACAGCGCAGGACAGCAAAGGACGGCACAGGACAGCGCAACACGGGACAGCACAGGATGGGACAGCACAGGACAGCACAGTGCAGGACAGCACAGCACAGCGCAGGACTGCAAAGGACAGCGCAGGACAGCACAGCACAGGATGGGACAGCACAGGACAGCACAGGATGGGACAGCACAGGACAGCACAGGACAGG